GCTTAAAGGCTTTATTGGGATAGTTACTATATTATTTGGTCAAGAAATATTGGTACATTGAGGGAAAGCGAAAACTTGCTCGAAACTCCTACATAAAGGTGGGGGGAGAGGAAGCGAAGACACTTTTCATGGAGTTCAATTTCTTTCTATTTATTTTTATCAAGAGGAACAATGTTTTTATTTATTTTTGATATTAAGATAGGGAAACCAAACAAGCTGCAAACTAAAATGAAAATAATGCTTGAAGCACATGGTATCAACAAAAATTCCATCCTTGTAAAGGCTTTTTATTGACTAGAGGATCATTATTACGTTAAAATGAGATTTAGTGTAATCATAAAAGAGATTTAAATTATTTACTATGAAGAAATATTCTCCTTGATAATAGCATGGTCTAAATCCTTCAAATAATTTCCCTTTGATTTTGACTAACATTTGAGTAAGCTTTTGATATAAATGTGCTTGAGTGACATTTCTATGGTTGCAATTCATGATCTACATCCTTCACCAAGACCAGCTTTACTAAACAAAATGCTATCAGTAGCCTTGAACAAGCTCAAATTCATTCTAGAGAAATTTATTGGTTCTATGGCGTGTTTGAAAATGTTTGAGTGGAGAGAGACTGCTCAGACTAGATAGATCATGAAAAAATGAGAGGCAATCCTGCCACTATATAACTTTAATCCGAACTACCACATTTAACAGTTTCCTAAGTTTGGTTTGTATACACTAGTCCAAAGACCATACTCATCGTGTGTCCCATCTTGGAGAGCTTAGAACTGAGGTTTTGGATCGAGCCATCCCCTCTTCTTAGAATCAGCGTCCAAGTAGATGAATCTTTAGAAATAATCATTCACATGGATTGTAACAAAATTGGCACAATTCGCGTCAAACGGCACGAATCGTGATGGTGATGAGCACGAGGGATCACCTTGAGGGTAAAAATAATCCTCAAACCGAACCACAAGTTCCAACCAGACCTAATTTGAAAACTTTTCCTTTGGTGAGAGTCAACAATCGCCGCCGTTTGACCTAATCCGCTGCCGTCGACCTGAAAGATCGATGGCGGGACGCGGGAGGTGCAAGTGGCGTAATTGACCTCTCTCGGCCCCTTGTGCTCGCGCACATGCAGTCCCCAGCTCTGAGCGAGACGACAGACGGAGTCTGCCCCAAACGGGCCCGACCCTACAACCCACCCACTCCCTCAGCACCAGCCCCCTCGGCCGGCGGAAAAGCTGCCGCCCCGCTGCCGGCAATGGCCACGCGAACCGCTCCAAAACCATCGGAACGCCGCTCCTCCGGGCCCGAAACCCGAGCAGTAGAAAAGCCCCCGCCCGGCCGAAAGCGTGTCTCCTCCGACCAGCCCCCTCACCGGCGGCGGCATTCCTCCGGCGGCCGCGCCGGCTAATGGCCGGCGTACGAAGGCGCATTAAATGGGAGATGGGGAGGGAGAGGGAGTTACTGTGGGGCTGGATTATCAGTGAAATCGATGGGGGCAAGCCCACCATTAATGGGGAGCGGAGAGCGTGGACTGGAAGGAGGAGCGACCCAGGTGACGGAAGGGGGCAGATGGTCCAGGAGGGCCGCAGTGGAGCTTTCTCCCCGAAAGCGGCCGGAGGAGCTGTCTTCCGGCGGGGGCCAGCGAAGCGGCAGGGACTGTGGGTAGCGAGGCGAACATGGGGCCCTCATGGGGCCGCGCCGCGGCGGCGGTTTCCGCCGGTCCTCGGGAGCAGGCGGCGTGGGAGGTTGAAGGAATGGACAAAGCGGCGACCTTTGGGTCGTCGCATTCTTCCGTCCGCTCCCACGGAGCTGATGAGGCTATTGGAGAGCGACTGCCCGCCGGCATGTGCGCCGGGCGCGTCCCTTCCCATCCCCTGTCGGTCTCCATTCGTATAACTTGTTGCTTGTTGCTTGTTGTGAGAGAGAGAGAGAGAGAGAACGTGCCCACGTTCCACGTTCCTGGCGCCGAACATGGGTTTTCACACGACGAACATGCAGACTTTCCACTTGCGTCTGGTTTTACCTCCCACGCACTTCGGCTCTGCGCTTTCTCTTTCTCGCTCTCTACATGGTGCAACACGCTTCGGAAAGGCCAACAGTCTCCCAATAAATCACCTTGAACATGGAGAGCTCCACATTCATCATGGTTGGAAACAGGAGTTATTGTACGCGTCATCCTCCTCTTCTGGAAACGGGGCTCATGTCATTCAATGAGAATCCTCGGCGATCAACGCAGCTCCTCTGTCGTCCTTGAGCTAGGAAAATAAATACTCCAAGAGAAGAAATCCAAGCTATCCCGCCCGAATCACAATAATATACACATACATTTAATCACCCACTAAATGGATAGCATCGACTTTGAAAGAGCTGATTAATCGGGTCAGTCAAGGATCGGCACGAGTGCATTATTTTTCAGTGTTGAAAAGGTATCGAATTCTGTGAAGGGTTACATACAGCTGAAGTTTTCTCTCTGTTGCTCCCCGAGAGGGGAGATCGAGACGGAGCTGGCGTGTGAGAGGAGATAAGTGACGGGAGGATCTGAGTTTAAATGAAGAGAGTGTTGACTCTGGACCTCTGAGAGCTGACGTCCCTCTGATCCAGATCAGGTGACGCTCCGAAGGGCCGCAAGGTCTCACGGCATTGACCAGAAGTGAAGACGCAACCGGCGAGAAACGTCGCAGAAGAGGGAAGAAGATAAGATTTAGACACTTGCCGCGATTCCTGAATTTGATCTCTAACACTATCCAAGTTTTCGCGATCTGGAAAGCGGAAAACTCGCATCTTTTCCGATGGAGAAAGATCAAAACTTTCTTATACCCCGCATCCCCATCACCGCATCCATCCATTGCAGCGAATTTATTCGTCCAATTACGGTGCTATTTGAGGACCGACTCAACGGGCTATCTTCGTCTTGGAGTCCACAGCCCCCGCACGAAGATAAACCGCCCGCCGGCCGGAACGTCCCCGCGCGGCGCAGTGCCCGGCGCGTTCGAACTGTCACGACTGTGCCTTGCGTGCCGTGCGACTTCGCCTGTGTCGGCAACCGGAGGGGGGGGTTGGAGGAATCGATAGCGGATGTTCCCATTCCTCTTCCGGCGGCTTCTCCGCACCGGCTACTGTTTACATCAGCGTATCTCGCCGGAGCCGGCGGGAGAAAAGGAAAAACAAGCCGGAAGGCCGCGGCGATCTTCCTCCATCCCTATACGACGGCATGTAACAGCGGCATCTGCGGCGGAATCCCAGAAGATCCGTGCACCGGGTCACTCTCTCTCTCGCCGCCATCGCCGGCGGAGCACATGATATCGTCATTTACTGCTCCATTTACTCGCGGCGAGCCCCCCCCCCCTCGCCGAGCAGCTGGCGACAGTGGCGCATGCCGTCACTGTTGATGCTATTGATTGCCATAAGAAGGTGTTTACCGCAGAGGACGCACGACCGGCCCCGTCGGCAGCGACCCTGTCTGCGCCCCGCCACCTTAGCGACGGCGCCGGCCGGCGCTGGCGTCGAGCGAGGGAGACCTGGCCGGTCGAGTAAAATAAATCACCGATAACCAACCCTATTAATTAACTGTCCCTTATACGCATCCAATTGAGCGTACCTGTTTTCAACGTACCGGTCAAACGATACGGTGGTCGCCGTCTTGGGCGCACCGAGGGCCTCGGATGATTGTGCCGAACGTTTAACGGTCACAGATAACGTGGGGGTGTACCTCCCTGCTGACGTGTCAGGAGGCCATTAATCACCCAACGGGAAGAACAGCCACGTAGGAAAAGACAAGAGGAAAGTCGACGTGCTAAACTCCACTTTCCGTCAGAGAATATTCCGTCCAAAAATCTCCATAAAATCCTCTTATTATTAACATTATTAATTGACGTGGAAAATCTAATTCCTCTCTCTCTCTCAAAGGGGTTTTGAAGGAATCGAGGTATCCGTCATCATCATGCGGACGCGTGCCCGGCGGAGGGCTCAAGAGAGAAGGGAGACTATCGGAACAATCTTCCGAAGCCATTCCTAACTTCACTAGGTAGTCTTTATTGTCTGAGAATGTGACCACATTGAAATGGCCAAACTACCCTCGGCCCAAAATTTTCGGAAAAAGAGTACGTGACCACGCTTGGAATAAGAAAGGGCCTTTTTATATCAGGTGAAAAGTCTGAAAAACCCTTCCGTAAAAGAAGAAGAATGGATCAACCAACAGAGGTTAGCGGCGGCCACAGCTGCTGCTGCTGCCGCCGTGCCGACGGCGGGGGGCGATTAAGAGGATGGCTCACGGGCGGGGCCACGCCGGCCGGTCCGGTCCCCTCGTGATCGGCATTACTGACTGAGCCGGGCCTGCCCCCCCTCGCCCCGGCTGCAAGCGGTCGCCGGACCATTTAGTGCCTTTTATGGAAACATATAACTTGCACTTTAAGACTGTGTCAAATCTCCACTCTCTCTCTCTATAGGATCCTACTACTTTCACCATCTTCCCCATTTTAACTGATATTTACGGTAATAGTTAAATACAAAAAAAATCAACTAATTCGGGGAAAATATTGAAAATTATGGTTTTAAGGGGAAATATAATTGATTTTTAGGGATAGTAGGGGCTACTGCTACGCTTGATTTATACAGGGTATTGTGTTATTATTTTATTGGAGGGGAGGATTAGGATATGGCTTGGCTTTCTCGGGGGGAGCGATTGGGCGGGGCCGGGGGTCCGAGCGGCGGGACGTCAGTTCGTGAAATCCTCGCACCCATCGGGCATTCTGGGCTCGGCCCGGTGACAGACCCGTCTCTTCTTCCTTTCACCCTCGCACGACGCCCTTCCTCCCTCTTTAAAAGCTCCCCCCCAAAGTGGGAGCCCGGAGAAGGGCTGCGGCGGCAGTGGCGGGAGCAGTGTGAAAAGGAGCAGCAAAGGGACAGAAAACGCCGCAAGAAGGGTGGGAAGAGAGAGAGAGAGAGAGAGAGAGAGAGAGAGGGGTGGGAAGGAGGAGGTTGGGATCTCACCGGGGGCGAGGATGAAGCCGGGAGAGTTGCTCCGCGGCGGCGGGGGCGGCGGCGAGGAGGAAAATGTCGACAAGCAGATGGAGAGGCAGATGGGATGCATGACCGGGTTCTTCCAGATTTTCGACCGCCACCAGATCCTCGCCGGGCGGCGAGGGATTTACGCCGCCAAGCGTCTGGCCTCTTTCCCTTCTCCGGTCGGTTCCCGTCGGCGGTTTCCCTTCTCCTTGTCTGCTCATCTGTCGTCTCTTCTCTTCCCCTCCGGTCGTAATCTTTGGATTTGGCAATGCAGGCCCCGAGTTGTACCTCGCCGTCCGAAAGATCGGACTCCTCGATTTCGTCGTCTTCCAAGGATCTCCCTGCCATGATTCTCCTGCAGGCTAAGCCTCATCCGCCGGAGTTGCGGCCGCCGTCACCCGAGCCGCCGGCTTGGGCGGAGATCCCTCCGCGACCCTCCTTGCCCCTTCCGGTGTTTGATGTCAAGGACGGGCGTTCCTCCTGGAAGTTCAGAGAGGCCCCGCGCCTATCCCTCGACAGCCGCGTCGATGTCAGGGGCAAGCTATACCCTAGGGAGAGAACACCGATACGCGGGAATCGGGCCGACGGCTCTGATGCTTCAGACACTGCAGACAATCTCCGGCGATCTCCGAGCGTCGTGGCCAGGCTGATGGGACTCGATGCTCTCCCTTGCAACAGTGGCACCGGAGAGTCCGTCGCCGATGCCGATCCGGAGAAGAAGGCGGAGCTACGGCGCTCTGCTTCGGAGTCTAGGGCATCCAAGGATGTCGTCCAGTACCAGTTCGTCGACGGCGGCTACCTTCCGCCGCCCTCTCCTCAGCCAGATGTAGTTTTCGAGGACAAGCTTCGTGAGGTGCGGCGGTGCATTGTTCGGGAAGGGAACCCGGAGCCGAGAGGCGCTTACTCCTCTCCTTACCAGCAGCCTTCTCGTTCTCCGTCCAACGGATTCTCCGTCCTCCAGAGGAAAAGCTTCTTCGATGCGCAGGACTACTTCCTCGCAGATCCCCCTAAGAGGCCTGGAGGTGGCGGCTCCCTCTACTACGGCGAGGTCGAAAAGCGGCTGCGGATGCCCGGCATGGTCGAGCCTGTCAAGAACCTCGAAACCCTCAAGCAAGTCCTGGAAGTCATCCAGCTGAAGGGCCTGCTCCACTCGCGGCAGCAGCAGCAACGCAACAGGGCCTCGGAGGCGTCTCGCCAGCAGAGCGGCGCCAGATTCGTCTACGAGCATTATCCAGATCAAAGCGACTGCTACGATTCTCCTATCGTCTTGATGAAGTCGGCGGCGAAATCTCCCTCACTACGGCCGCCGCCTCCCCCGGTGTACTCGCCGGCGAACGAGTCTTCTTCCCCGAGCTATCGGAGCAGCCATCTATTCCCCACCGAGACGGCCTCCCGCTCGCCAAGGCGGAATCGTATCCAGACCGATCGAGCTCCCGCAAGGAACAGCAATGAGGCTCGGACGCGCAGACCAGGGGCTCCAGATTCGGCTAGCGCTAGGAGTCCGGTGCTGCCGTCGCGAAGACGGCTGCCGGAGCCGCCGGCGGAGGTCGCCACCACCACCAGGGGACAGCTCAACACAGATCGTAGATCCCCGTCCTCTCATTCTCCTCGCTCCGGCAGCCCGCGGAAGGCCGGAGCCGAGATATCGTCCAGATCCCCGAGGAGCAACATCGGGACGACGCCGCCGGCGACGGCCGCGAGGGAGAGGATCCCCCGCCGGTCGGACGACGAGTTCATTGTCTCCGGTGGTTGTCTAAGTGCCTCGTCCCAATTCGATTCCGAGGTATAATTTACGATTATAAAAAGCTTCCTCAGATCCTAATGCCATCCTGTTTCTCAATTCATCACTCCTTAAGAATAATTTCGGGATTGAATGTTGCCTCTTGCTGCAGAGAGTGAAGGCGGAGTACAGGGACGGGAAGATCCTCCTGGAGAGGTGTGACAAGCTTCTGCACAGCATTGCAGAGATCACCTCCAAGGCCGGAGTCGACTACGATGCGGAGCAGTTCAGCGCCGGCGAGCAGCAGCCCAGTCCCGTCTCCGTCCTCGACGCCGGCGCATCTTTCGACCGAGACGACGCCGGCACCGCCTCGCCTTCCTCCCTCCCCAAGCTCTGCATCAATTTCAAAGGTATGAATCTCCCCCTCTGCCGGTGAATTCTCCTGACGAACTCGTTGGTGATTCAACTCACTGCTGATTTTTAATCGGAGCAGAGCAAGCAGTGGAATGCCGGTCGGAAGGGCTGATCCCGGCGGCCATCGACGGCAGCTCCGAGGTCGACGACGACGATTTCTCGTACGTCTCCGAGATCCTGCGTGCTTCTGACGCCCATCCGCCCGGCGGCGTCGACTTCTTCCAGCGGCAGAAGGCAGCGGCTGGGGACGAGACCACCACCGCCACCGGCCTCAAGCCCTCGCCGCTCCACCAGCGGCTGCTGTTCGACGCGGTATTGGAGATTGTCGAGCGGCGCCGCCAGATCCTCCCCTGGGAGGCCTTCCGGTGCTCCCGCTCTCCGGTGGCTTCCGCGCAGGGGAGGAGGCTGCTGCCGGCTGAGGTATGGGCGGAGCTGCGGAAAATGCAGGACCACGCTCCGGCGGACGACCTCTGCGAGCTGATCTGCCGTGTGCTCCGCAAGGATCTGGAGGAACCTTCCGCTGTGGATCGCCCATGGGCCAACCGCCCAGCGGAGATGTCCGACGCGGTGCTCGACATCGAGCGCCTCATCTACAAGGACCTTGTCGCCGACGCCATCCGCGATCTCGCCGCCTTCCACGAGCGGCGGCGGCGGAGCGGCCTCACCTCCCCAGCGGCGCCGCGGCGGCGGAGGCTGCTGTTTTGAATCGCCGGTCTCGAAAGTTTGGTCTGGTTTCCCGCCATCTCCGCCCGCTCGCGAGATGCAGGGGCCGGAGGAAGAAGAAGAAGAAGAAGAAGAAGAAGAAGAAGAAGAAGCTGTGCCATCGGTGCTCCGGCGGGGGTACGTGGAAGTCAAAGATTCCGGGAACCGCCGTCCATCGGTGCTCCGGTGGAGCACAACGGCGGCGCCGTCGTGTCATTTCACCTCGACCAAGTGGGCCGGGAGGGTGGGTGGGGGTGAGAGTGAATGTCCTCGGTTGGTCTCCACGTCCTTTCACCGACAAAGAGGAAGCAGGTTCTGGGCCGGTGGCCCAACAAGCGGCCGCCGTCTCTTACACCTCCACTGGGGGAGGGGGGGGGACCACCAGGCCCACCCACTACGTCTCCCCTGTCAGCTGTCCTCAGAGAGGCCCACTTACAAGAGCTCAGGCGCCAAATTAGGTCTCGCTTTCGGTCAAACCTCATTTCCAACTATGGTTGCAAGGGGTTTCTCTTGCTTCTGGTTCGGTCTTTTTGGAGAGGATATATCTGCCTTGGTCAAAATGGTCCCATACTTTGAAGGTACAAACAAGTTCTCTAGGTTTGATGGGTTATCTTGCTATGTTTTCTTTGTCACTTTTAGAGTTCAACTCATAGATGATACAATGGCTCCAACAGAATATTAGAGTCAACGGGTGATTATAGGTTGTTATTGGACAAAAGTCAACATGTACATGGTCTGATATGGAAGGCACTATTATACTTTTGCTCATATTATATATTGGGTTTTAAGATGGGGTGGTCCTACAACTTTGACCTAATCTTCTACAAATCAAGAGGTGGGTCCTCTGAAGCTCTTCTACTAATCAAGAGGTGGTCCTACTACCTTAGCTCTCTAGCTAATGGTAGGGTAGAAATGAAAGCATGTGGGTGGAAGTTGTGGAGTTTTCTCATGAGCATTGTACATAGATTCCACATGAGTGGCAACCAATAGGTGATTCCCTCACTCTTCCATCTTCTAAAACTGGGAAGTTATTTCCATATCTCTCTAGGTGAGTATGAATATGAAGTACATTAACATCTTTAGGAGTGAGAAAACTTATACTTTTCATTAGATGAAGACAAGTTTGTGTAGAGACACAGGAATTCTGAACTTATAGTGGTTCAACTTATGCTTGAGAATTTACCTTGCCAAACCTGTTAATTAAATCTCTATACCAGTCCTTTATTTTTGTTTTTATCAAATTGAAGATTTGTACTTGAATATGATTGGGAAATTCAATTAAGGGTAAAACATGATGGTAGACTTGAAGATAAAGATAAAAATAATGTGAAGCTTGAAGGTGTAGTACATTTATGACATGAAAAGAGTTCACAAACTTTAATTCATCATACTTGTTAGGGATGATGAGTACACTAACTAGAAATATGATAAGAATGTTGCACCATTTTAGATTGCCATGTGAAAATAACCATGAAGGGATTGATATAATCTTATATATCATAACCTTATGATGAAAAATTAGTACATTTAACATTACTTGATCCATTTTAACAAAAAAGTAACACATTTAAATTACAATATTTATTAAAGGAATGAAAAGAGATGTTTGATAATGAATGTCTTTACAGTTTAGTCTTTCCTTGTTTACATATAAATCTAGACAAGCTTGATATGGGGAATCACATATATAACACTAATTCTAATCAAATTGTATACAACACCATATAATGTGTACACATTATAGAAGATGGTGTGCCTATCAAAGGTTAGGCTAGAGAGTGCTTTCATGAACTAAAAACCTAGTAGCACAACCAATGAGTCAAGCTCACATATTTTTCTATATGACATTAGATTGCATAGAAAATGTAGGTAGGTAGATTAATCTATTAGAAAATGCAATATATGAGGAAGAATAAGTAAGTATATGAGGATGAAGAAGATAATATCAATCGACCAAACTAATATGTGAGTATAGTGCTTGGCCTAACTAGATATTGTTTTTTTTTCTTCAACATTTCTAGAGTAATACATCATTAAGAATAGTACATATTTTTAATATATCTAGTCTATTATGTTAGCTTACATAAGTATATCAGAATATTGAAATAATGTCAATCAACCCAACTAATATGTGGCTCTAGTGCTTCACCTAATTTGAAGTTAATTTACTAATGTATTTTTAAGAAATAAAACCTAGGGACTATTTTTAAGAATAAGTTTATTCAGCTTTGTTAATGCATCATTATTGTATGATAATCAAGGTCAAGTGATGAAACAATCCTTCTAGTAGGATGAGTAGTGGATTCAAAGATAACAAGGAAGTTACATGTCATACAAAATAATAAAATTGACTCTCCCCCTTTGGATAGAGTTAAACTAAACATAGAAGGAGCCTCAAAAGGGTAACTTAGGAAAGACTAGGAGAGGGGGTATTATCCATGAGCTATGGATGGAGATTGATTCATGAGTAATGGTCAAGATGATGATGCAAGGAAAATGCAGATAATGAGGCTAAAAAAATGGTGGAGATAGATTACAAAGCATCTACCAATAAGTCAGCAAATAGAACATCAAAATCGAAAAGGTATTACTATACTTGATTGTCTAGGTAACCAAATGGTGGTGCATGAATCATACAAGAAATATTGGATAGTAAAATAACTACCAAGGGAAACTCAAGGCATCTATAAACTAGAAGGAGGTTTACCATCATGAGATGAAGCAACAACTAGATTCAACAATAGGCATCTTTAGGCACCCCCAAACTCACTAAGGACCCCATGATGGAGTTAATGTTGGCAACAACAATATTCCACAAAAATGAGCAAGACTAAGGATGATAGATTAATTCAAGGAAGTAATGACATGTCACATATAACAAGAGGGGACAAGTTACACAACAAAAAAGACACAGGCATGCAGAAGATCCTTCATGGACCAAAATCAAGCCTAGACCCAAGTATAGTTACACAAGAACATCTATGTACGAATTTTACAATATACTAGTCTAGTGAAAACTAATCTCCAAGCTACTATAATGCTGTGACAAGAGATAATTAAGATTTGAATTCTGAGGTCGTAAACTTTTTTACTTTTATAAAAGTGAATTTTGGTGAAATTGTTATATTAACTAATGTCGCATGTAATAAAATTGAATGAAAAATATCAAAACATATTTTAGAATACATTTCATGAATTTATAATTAAATATTTATATTATTCTTGAGAAAAAAATTCTTGATCCCCTAATGTATATTCTAGTGGCAACTAATCTCTAAGCTACTTTGTTATACTTTTTTGTTAATTAAAGAAAAAAATATTTCTTAATGAATTTACTGAAGATGTCATGGTGGGATGGTAATGAGTTGATTATGTCAACATGAATATCAATATTTGTTATTAAGGATAAAAAAGAGGGAGACATAGACAAATGGAGACAGGGGATAATGGGTAGAGTTTTCTTTAGTAAGAAGTGACATGAGAAGGAGCTCTCGTTTGTAGTAGTGTGAGACTAAACTTAATGGGCAATAGGTGGAGCCCAACAACACAAAGGGGAGTGTTCATTTTTCGAGTCAAGCTATCTTTGAATAGAACAACAAAAGAGGGAGTTTCAGAATTTGATTTCTTTCCAAAAATACATTTTATTTTCGTTTCAATTAATCCAATCATGTAGGTGATATGGACACAGCATGATTAAACATTGTTCTCACTTGTTTCATTTTCTTCTGATTGATTTCGTGCTCAATTTTCTTTTAGCAACTTTGTTTTCATCATTTGGTGATAGATAATTAACATTATGATTTCATGATTTTATGCTCTTTTTATGACTATAATGATTTATGGGAGTGTTAATTGGATTGTGACCAGCTAAATCTAACTGTATCATTCATTTAATGAAGATTAATTAGGTTTCATCATATAACATTTCCCTCTTTACTATTAACAAAGTGAAATCTGCAAGTAAATGTTTGTATTTCTTTCCTCCCCTGCATATGCTTAGTCACATATGAACTCTCTACTTTTTTATAATTTTTCATTTTCCTTAAAATATTTTGCCACTAGATCTTATTTACTATTTTGTAACTTTTAATGGCTGCTACAGATCTTCAAATAGCTTGAAGGTTATGGGTGAAAATTCTAGAGCACACAAAATTATTGGTGATTGTGTGGAGGAGCAAAATATTGAGTAGAAGGAGCAAAAAGATGTATGGAGTTTGATCTTTTCATTTGTCCCTTGCTCTCTTTTGTCTCAATGAATATCATAATTAAATTATTTCCATAGTTGACAGTCATCTCCATCAATATGTATTCTCTTAATTTTGACACTTCAAACTAAAAAATTGATCTATTTATAATTCATTCAATATTTGTTAAACTATCCATATATATCATGATTATATTATGTTATTGACAAACATTCAAATTATATATTGATGATGTTTAATATGATTTTTATGACTAATAATGAATCCAAAGAATTAACATATTGAGTTATCATTCTATATTGAAATAGTGCAACATAATATCCTTAAACTATAAGTGCAAACTAACTTGTGTCAACATGTGTGATGAAATCTCATGTATGTTTTAGAAAGATAAAATCAATTATAAGATTTGAATGCGGTACTTGAGCATTGTAAAAATAAAAGTGTAAACATAAAAAAGCATATGAAAAATTAAAGATACATAATAGCAAACATGAGATTCAAACTCAACAAGTAAACTATGAGAAAATAGAAAAATGACGACCAAAATATTCAATTTTGATATGGACGAAGATTTAAAATAACAAAAACATAGTGACAACATATAAAGCTAGTCAAGCATTCAAAGTAAAATACATGATTGGTGATTGAGACTGTTCATACATAATAAAGAAGGTAACAAATAAGTCTTTATCATGTAACATGTATGATAACATATTAGAGTCATATGAGGAGAAAATAATAAAAGAAAGCGACCAACTTCAACTAGACCTAAAAAATTAAATCATATGTTGAAGTGCCATGAATCTCGAAAAAGAACCTTTGAAGATCATATGTGAAAGACCTACATATTTCAAAGTAGAGAAGAACTTGAAGTCAATTACACATAACCCTAAGTGGTAACATGTCATTAGAGTTCGTAAATAAAATGATAAGTTCAATGACATTATATTAACTCTACCCTAAAAATAAAGTTGTTTGTTGATCACTTGAAAATCTCTAGACACAATATCAAATAAAACATACTTACGAGTTGAAAAATATGCGCTAAAGTATAACTGAAGGTTAAAAGCACGGATTATGGATAATAACTTATCAACAGAAGACGTGGAGTAAAAACAAATCAAACATTATACTATGAGCAAAAGACCCTAAAAAAAATATTATTTGATCAATTACAAATCTGTAGATAAGATATTACATATAATAATCATCAAAGTAAAAAGTTTGGAAGTAAAAAGCAGTTGAAGACAAATCAACATCACTAGTATGATGGCGAAGTGATGAGATATTTCCCTTGAAATGACAAAGATATAGTGGAGTATAAGAAGAACAAGTTAATGATAAATCAAGGTTAGTGCTAAACAAAGAATTTTCATTCGCATCACTCACACTAGTTCAAGAAGAAGGTCTAATCAATCCTCTATGATAAATCAATTATGTATCTCAAAGAAAGATTTAAAATTTTATCATATTTAATAATTTACAACAATCTACAAATTATTCAACTACATTAAAGATTGTCTCTCTCTATCAAGCTTTAAGATAACCTAAGAAGTAAGTGGAGAGAGAATAAGACATAAACAAAAAGTACTAAGAGATAAAGTTAGCTTGAAAATTATGTTGGTCTTTATGAAGAAGTGTATATTAACTTAAATACGTAGCATTAAGAGTGAAGATCTGCCTACGAGGGATGAGATCTTTGTAGAAATCAAATAGTTGTGTTTAAGAAACATGAGCCCATAAAGTTAGTTATATTTCAAGAGAGAAATAATAAAATTTAATAGGAGTCTCTTTTGATATTAGACATAGCCTAAGGAAAGGTAAATCAGTATAAAAATTTATGTCCATTATAATTATGAGAGAGAGAGAGAGACTAGAGTGACCCCATAACGAAAGTAAGAGAGTTAAGTGAAATTACATATATATTTGATAAACTATATTAGAATGTGTGTCGACACATATACATATAGATATAACATAATAATATAATAGAAAATATAGGAAAATAATGTGTATATGTGTCAACACATACACATAATCTTTATTAAATTAGTCACATTGAACCCAACACGATTGACTTGAATTCATCAAGTTTTTGAGTTTGATCTACTCTTTTGTAATGATACAACCTTTCAACACTCTTTTATCAAGAACACAACTTGTATAGTAGTTTGTCTCTCATCTAGTTAACTTTAGTGTAAAAATGTCATCTAGTTCTTTGTGTTATTAATTATTTCCTTACGAGTACATAATGATTATAATGAGATCAATAATTTAAATTACTCAAGTTCATATATATTGAGATATCAATTCTTCTCAAGTCAAATATGACTACAAGTAGTATATCTTTGTCAAAATTGCTAGTCATTCACGATTCAATTATCTTAGGCCTTGCTGGAGAATACTAATCACAAAAGTCAAGTTGTTTGAATGTTAGATCTAGCTAATGAACCTTACTACTATAGTTCATGCATCGATGCATTGATATAGCATTAATTCTCTAAAATCTATTTAATACTTTAGTCTATAATTATTATCTTATATAGGCTTTCATCTTGTACTAGCTTTCCATTTTTCCCATATCTTCAATAGTTCTATTTTGAATCAAAACTTTGTAACTTTGTTTCACTTTTGTCAATGTACTTGTTTGACATGTCATCATTGAAATAAATTTTGTAAACATAAATCTTTGAAGTATTCTTTTATTTTCTTGTTTATTTGAAATTGGTAATTAAAAAAAATGTCGAATAAGATGTAGAAATAATAGAATAGATAAATGGTGCAATACAATGGTTGGATCATCATAAATATAATCTTAGACCAAATATTTCTCTTTTGAGAATATGTCTGCATATACCATATGGCCCTATTTTGAGAATAAGATGTAGTCAACATTTTATTTGTTACTTTTTATTCAATTTATTTGTAGACATTCCAAAGATAGAAAATCAACTTAATCTCAAGATTGAAACTTCTTAGTTTAATTATTATAATTAAATTATTAATTATTAGACAAATAGTTTACTATAATTAGTCCATTCAATATATTAAATATTTAATTCACATAAATTAGACATCTGAATCTAAACTCACTTTCTTCCTTTATAAATCTAAAACATTAGGGCAATTATTTATTTATTTTTATTTGATATCATCAAAACCAAGGGCATCAATATCAAGACCTTGTAAAAATCATTTCATATCAACTACATGACATTCAATTTTATAAAAAAAAATGTCAAATGAAAATTTTACTAAGCATGTTTTTATGATATTTTTTCCAAAATCTTTCTTGAACCACCTGATTTGAGTTAGACTTTTTCTCAATATTTAGCCTTAACTTTCAAATCATAGTTGAAGAAATATAATTGTTACTATTGCCATTGCCAATAATAACAATGTAAACTTTTACACTAAAAGTATATTACATTCTAAAAATAGTATGTCGTTGAAATTGATCTTATTTTGGTATAAACAAGAGGTTCTTCACAACCAATAAATGAAAATGTGATTTGTAAGAGTATTTTATATATTGATTTCTAAACTTATTATTCGTATTCCTAGATACAATGAAATTACTTTTCATGAAAGTTTCATTCATTAGATAGCAATGCATTGTGCACATCCTGAAAGTTTTGATGATGATTATCAAAACTTGAAAATATTGATATCATATACATGTCATACTTTATAAACCAGATCATTATAAATGTCAATCATCGAAGGAACCAATCTAAAATCTTGAACCATAGATACAAATTGTTGTAGTTAGAGTCATGTCAAGACAAAAAAATGAATCCACATAAATTTTGATCTTTGAATCCACAAGGATCAATTTTTCTTTGAGTTTACAATGGAGGCATTTGAAACCACAAGCTGCTAGATATAGTCTCGAAGAGGAAAATTTTCATAATTGGAAGCAATGCCCTCAAAGTTACAAAGTGGAGCCTTTAAGTAAGCGAGTTATTAGGGCGCCCATAAAAAAAAGTTTTCAATTTTAATAACGCTTTAAAACCGATTGAAATTACATTAAAACAAAATTAAACCGAATTGAAAACAAAAAAGTAATATTAGATGCTTTTATGCGGCACTTCATTATGGGCCTAATCATATTTGGGGCTTTTAAGATTTTCTAATCTCGTAGAACATATTTGAAGCTACGTGAACGCCTAGCCCACTAATTTGGGGCTACTTGAGTCAAATACTTTTCACCTTTCCTTGTTCTAGAATTGATGTCCTACATCAGTATTATTCATTATTAGTTTTTAGCAAATTGTATGCTTCGTTATCAACTTGAAACAACCATACAATTTGAATGTAGCTACTTGAAACACTCATCAACTTGACCTACCCTGATAAAGAAGATATTGTTTTCCTTGGGGAAGTGGATCAACTTGAACTATCTTGGTAAAGGTATCAACATAAAATGGACATGTTGGTCTGGCTCACCACTACCACCAGTGGATGAATAATAAGAGTCTCACCATCATCAAATTTAATGGGGCTAGTTTATTGCTCAATTGGGAGTCACACTTGGGGAGGGGATTATTTATCAAGTATCATCGAATATAGTTTTTCCTTGTACGAGAGATAAATAGTAAAACATAGAATAAAATCAAACAATTCAACTTTGCAACAACTTCGTAATCACTAGGACCTTTCTAACCAAATTTCTTGCAGATATTTGAATCTAAGCTAGAAGTTAATAGAACTAAGAATCTGAAGTAGAGGAATAAGCTGTAATTTTACGGCACTCATCATAGACATGTCATCCTCTCTAGGTGGTGTCATCCTCTAATTGGGAAATCATTCTCTTTCATGATGTTTTTTCTAGGATAAGTAAGTTGTCTTCCTCACCAGGTAAAGAGGGCCGGGAAATTGAAACCCATCATTTGCCCGGCCCCCACAAACCAAAGACAAAAGATCCATTCTTCGAGAGAAAGAAATAATCTTAACGGAAACTTGGGGCAAAACTCAACAAAGGGGGTTCCTCCATGGCCCAAAACTCGTTCAAAATAGAGAAGAAACGGAAGACAAAATACTAAGGTTTGGTTTCTTTCCCAATCAACTACTGCTACTGACGCTGATGATCACTGGGTCGCACCGAGCCACTTGGAGAAGTTCTCAAACTCAGTGTAGTCGCTGTCTGAGATCATGGTGTGGTACCAGCTCTTTCCTGCAGCCCTGATGGCGGCTGCTTCTTCCTACAAGATGGGAAGAAATTGACTGATCAGAAAGGAGGGGGTGGGGGTTATTCCTCTCCACAAATGGTTTTCGAACTTAGCAAAATATGAAGTCATCTCTGTAGAGATCTAGGAGAAAATGCAGATACAAAGGTTACTTTTAACATCTAATCACGAAAGACATCCACCAGCCAATAGGTGCATAATAACAGTCTAAAATCATATTGCTGCAGTTGATAGAATAATTATGACCATGAAATAGGAGAGCAATTCCAACTATCAACCGTAAAAATGCTACAGTGAAAATGAAAGCCACAACATATCTCAGACCCAACTGAAACCAAACACGGTATGGATGCAATTCTTACACTGACTGCATTGTATTATATTCACTCATAATTGCAAACATGTGAAGCCACGAAAAGCATAACATTATTCAGTCCTAAATAAAGAGTTGAAACAAATATGACCACTGAGAGAAATGACATACACAAGCAATTGATAATCATAGAACATTTTATAGAGATACAAGGCCAGAGAAATAAGAATGAATGCTATCAAGTATAATTAGTAGAGAAATTAATATAAACAGTCATTCTGATTCCCTCAGTTTAGGTGATAGATTGAATTGAACTAAGAGAAAGAGTCCATAAGACCCCATGTCTAAAAGCTTCTTTAACAACAGGAATATAAAATTTAAAAATTAATGAAAAATATAAAATCTATGATACTAGATAAAAATACAAAAGTCACTAATGGATGAATACCAAGCACGCAGTCGAATGTGTTCAGCAAAATAAGGCATGAAGATTTCGGACGCAGCATGAAGACTTCCAATTCAAAAGCAATGTGACCAACAAAACGGTTAAAAAACTCAGAGAAAGATAGCATATGGAAATATGGCATTAGAGAAAGATAATATCATAACTTAACATCAATTACAAAAGAAAAAAAAGGAACGAAAATCAATAGGCTGAAGATAAGAAGCAATAAGGAAAAAGAATATAAGCTCCTTTGAAATGGGAACGATGAGACGCACCTTAGGGAGCTTAGTCCTCTTCTTATCGAGCTTCTCCTTCTTCGACTTTATCCTCTGGGCCTCAGTCAGAAGCGCCACCCTCCTCGCCGTCTTGGCGTACGGGTTCAGCTTCAACATCGCGTTCAGGTTCTTCAGCGGGTTCTTCTTCAGAGCCTTCCTCTTCACCTCGGTCTTGATGGGACGCACCACCGACTGCACCTCGTCCGAGTTGATGATCCTCGACAGGTCCGAGTTGCTCATCTTCGATCTCGGCAGCACGTACTTGTTCTTCCTCTCCGACGCCTTATCGAAGGTGCCGAACACCGCGTCCAGCCTCTCGAACGCCGACTTGGTCCACACGATGAACCTACCGAGGTGCCCACCCGGGGCCAGCTTCAGCAGGTTCAGCCGCTCCACATTCATCACGTCCACGCCGGGGATGTTGCGGAACGCCTTCACGATCTTAGCGCCCTCCGTGCCGTACACAATCAGGGGACCCCTGCGCGACACATACCGCCTGTTTCTCATCTTGCCCTTCCCCGACCGGATGCCGTGGCTCTCCTTGGCCTTCTCCGCGTCCGCGTACGCCCCGATCTGCTTCAGGATCTTGATGGCCGACGACGTCTTCTCCACGCTCTCCGCCGAATCGGAGATCACCAGCGGGACCTCGGGGATCCCCTCGATCCGGTGACCGCGGGCCATCACCAGCGCCGGAACGGCGGACGCGGCCAGAGCCGACACCACGGCGTACCTCCGCAGGTTCAGGTTCACGCGCCTATGCCACCGCCGCCATATCTTCGTCGGGGCGAACATCCGCCCGCCACGGCACATGTTCCCGAAGGCACCCTGCCCGGCGCGGTGGGTGCCGCCGCCGGGCACGCGGGGAATACGAGACACGGCACGTCCCGTCCCCCACGACTCAGCCGACGTCTGGTGCCCGGCGCGCTTCGACACGGCGTAGGGCTGCCGCTTGTTCTTCGAGATGTTGGAGTGGACGAAGCGGACCACGTCCGGCCGGATGGTCGCCTTCAGCACGTCCGGCAGCGGGACGGCGTTAGATCCGTCCGTCGCCATGTCGCCCTCCAGGGCATGGACCGTCACCAGCGGCCTCACGGCGGCCACCATCCTGCTCCGGTGCGGCGGCGGTAACAGAGGAAGGAGAAGCAGATCACAAGGCATTAGGGTTTAGACACGCCACATTTTATAGTCACTACGTTAGGGCTCGGTCTGATGGGCCGGGGGCTTCCCGTGGCCCAAGTCGGCCTTTTCCTGAACCATGTTCCCCAACAACCCTTTTCGTGCAGACCCACCCTCTAATTATTACTGAAATTACTTTGCAGCCTTGAAGGAGCCAGCCCATATTATCTTCTTCTAGTCAGATTTCACAGGGTGGTCAATCGATCAGGTTGACTTTCCAGATTTTTAAAACAAGGGGTTTGACCCAAATTATTTTTAACTAGTAAAATTTAACTCATTTGAGTTATAATGGTCTACTTATAATGCTCTACATATAGCCCATCCGTCATAAGAGACTTTAAGACACAAGTCAACGCCACATCAATTCCCTTTTAAAGGCTTAGAACTATAGTTACCTCAAGTATAAAAAATTAGTTCATTAAATCAAGGAGGTGTTCATCAAAACTTTGCAAAGGCACTAAGGAGAGTCCAATAACAAAGGAAAAATAGAAGCCAATATCTTAATGTTTAGTATGGGGAGATAGGCCCATCATCAATTCCATGTGTTGTCCTCTTGGAGAGAATAGTGGAAAACTGTGTTGAGAAGGTTGAGCCACTATATAAAAGAGTGTGTATGTTGGTGACTATTGACTAGTATATTGACCTAGTGAGTTGACTCAATGTCTATTAACTTGTGCTTCTATCCATTTAATACAGCTAAGAGAAAATCACTAAAAACTAAAATAAAGAATCAAAAATTTTACAGAACTAATTTAACCCTTCCCCCCCCCCCCCTTTTTGACATCTTGACTGACCTACATTGGGACAAATATTAAAGTATATAGGGCCTAGTTTAACATTTAATTATTTTTTTTCATTATGTGATTTAATTTCAAAGAGTATTTAAGTAAAAAAGAAAACTACAAAGAATAGATAAATTTATTTTGAGCCTTGTTAGTCTAAGCGAAATAGATAAATGTCTTGTCAGTTATATATCTTTAGAAAAGCCTTTATAATTTTACTACAATTGCATAAACTAGTCAAGCATAAGAATTTAAGTGACCCATATATAAAAAGCACACCACATATCATGTGCGAGTAGATCAATGCCAAAAAAAATTGTCAAAATTATCTTGTTTGCAGTACATATTTTATTGTTGCACATCAAATAAATATCAAATCAATAATTAGGATTAAAGATAAAATTTAAAAATTTTAAAAATAGAAACTCTAGGAAACAAGTCTCCATTCATCTTAAGAAAAAAGTAAACAAGCCCACAATAAAAGAAAGTTATGCACTAAAGTTGAATACAAGTAAGTAATTAGAGATATAGGTCCCTATGCACCTAGATCATAAATAAATCACATATTTAATCAAATATGGTAGATTTATTGTCAGGAGTTAGAAAAAATCTCTTAAAAGAGGTAATTTATGTTTCTAAAATTACATTATTAGAAAAACATTTAATATAATGATAATTCATCAAGAGAGAGATAATATTGAAGAGAGCATAATAAGAGAGAAAATTATTTATTTTGGGTGAGAGTATGGTTTTATTTTCAATGTTTATTGGGTTTAGAAGTAGGTTATTTTCAATGTTTATTGGTCTACTATTAAGATAGAGAATGTGGCCACTGTAGAAGTTTGTAAAGAGATGGTGTGGTTGAATAACTTCCTTAGTGACTTGGGTAGGAAGTAAGAAAATATGATATTATTTTTAATAATCAAAGTACAATTGAACTGACAAAGAATCTTATATTACACCACTTGACTGAATATTAGACATGATAATTAGTCTTGAATAATCTACCTTTATTGACCTCCTTTGGTCACTAATAACTTTGCCTTTATCAATGGATTGTGTAACGTTAGGACTACATGATGAAAATAGTTGCAATATTACTACTTCAATAAGGAAACTATTTATTATGACGTTTGTCAATTCTACTTGTCCCAATTGTGGGGTTCCAACAATGAAACTATTATAAGTATGCTTGTCAAGTCTATTTGTTTCAATATTAGGGCTTCATCAAAAAACCATAAAAGACTGAGAAATACCAATCTCTATGACAAGTCAAGATAATAAGTCAACATTTCCACCTTTGCCATAATCTCAAATAGCTCATTATAATGTTGTAACAACCAATGATGATGTTTGGGTGCTCAAGTCAAGTGAATAGTTGTTATCTTATGGCAAACTCAAATAGAGATTAGCCAATAATTAACCTTTAATGTGGATTATCAAAAAGTTAAGTGATATATAATAAATCTACCTAGTTATCATGGTTAGTCATCACACAATGCCAAATATATTCTTCTAACATATTGTTGATCTACTTTATTTGTGGATGGAAACTAATGAAAATTTTGTATTGAAAGAGTGTTGTCCAACTACTTTGAGTGAATCAGACATCACTCTCACTAATAATGTCCAACATGTCACCACATTGGTTGAAAAGAGATACATCATATCTTCTATTGAATAGTTTGTTGATGTGTGCAGAAATACTATACATTTGAAAAAGATTAAATTGTACTCTTATATCTTTAGGAGTATGACAATAAAAGTTTTGAAAAATTATTCCTACAATTTTCCCAAAATGAATAAAGATTTGAACATGCTTGATGTTTTGGCTCACTAAATCTTGTCATATTAACAAACCAAATAAAATAATGCATGTCTCAACAATGTGTTCTTCCATACCTAGCTAGTAATAGATGTTAACAATCAATACTATTGTGATACATTGTCCAACATGATGCCCAACACAGTGCATCATATGCACTTATGGTAGTAGGTATCTCCATAACATGCTCATAGGCATTACACATGATCTATGTTTATACATGTATGATATATTGTCTTTCACTAATACTCATTTGTCATATATTGAACCAAGAATTTTGCCTCGTCATCCACAATCAAGGATACTTAGATTTCATTCAGCATACTCTCATATGTCATTATAATGACTAGAGACTAGCTTTGTACTCCTAATGGTGGAGGGCATCAACTACACACTAGTTGCCCTGGGCTATATTTTGACCCGAAATTATACTAGAAGTAGTATTGTTAGTGAGCTTAGTTTCAAGTGAACTTCTACTGTATGTCAAAATATGTGGTTGTAAACCTATTAAGGCACAAAAATACCCTCTAGAAAGATAATGCCTACAAACTTAGAGACAATGTACAATTACATTAATCTTTTTCTCATGCGTAGAGTCATCGCTCTATGTCACTCAAATTTTGACTTTCTAAATCTATGAGATATCCCTCCCACATCAAGACACCTTTAATTATTAAGTCAAAAACATTTGTGTATATCTTGAAGAGCTTGTTGAAGTTTGACAATTACATCACTTTTTTTATATTATGCTACTACAATGGCAATGTTATGTCATCATCATGCCAATGTCATACCGTGCCAACAACCAATGAGGTTTATGAGAAGTTTACCAATTTCCCCACACTAGTGAACTTGACAACCTACTTTGCATACATTTGCATGTATCTCATCTACTCTTGTACATGTCACATTGTGCCATTTCATACACTCGCAAGTTTCATACATATGCAATATTGGTGTGTGTTGTATTGTGATGCCATCCTTACTGCACACACATACATGCTCACACACGCTTAGGTGCATATCCAAATTCTATTGAAAGAAGCTCACTCTATTGAATGAAGGATGTGACATCATGTCCTGAATACTTTTTTTAATCATAAAGTTTTGAAATTGTCTGTAAAATGTCTGTTTTTAATCATAAATTTTTATTATCTTTGTCATCAATCACAAATTCTTATGGTTATTCAATATATAAATCTTTGTCCAAATAATCATTCAAAAAGACAATTTTAACATCAAATTAAAATATACCATCTCATTTGTGCTGCTATAATCAAACTAATCATAATAGTTTCAAATGTAATAACATGTAAAATGCATCTAGTTAATCAATACCATAAAGGTTTTTCCATTTTATACCATATCCTTTAATTTGTCTTGCCTTGTATTTATGCACACCTCTATTCTGGTTATACTTCATTTCATAAATTCAATTCATATCAATGACTTCATTTTTTTGATAATAAATTTATAAGCTTCTTTGTTTTTCAATTTAATTGAGATAACTTCTTACCTTAAATTTTCTCTTATTTGTCCTTAAGAATTTTTGTAGCTTATTTGGACTATAAACATAAAACAAAATTGTATGATTAATATATTTCACAAATCATAAAGTTTTTCCAAGAAAAAAGCTTGATAAGGGGAAACTTCACATGTCATAAAATGACCCAATTGTTTCAACTCTGCGTAGTAAGAAAGGCAAGATTACAAGCCATGTCACACCCTTCATTATAGTAACCAATCTAGTAATAAATTTGTCATAGATTATACAGAACTAAGGTTTTTTTTCCGAATGCAGCACTTTAGAAAGGCATGATTTTCACGTGTCTTTTATCCAAACCTACCTAACTTAGGGATTTATTAGTTGCCATTAGACTACAACAAAACCAACTTTCAAGAATCACCACCAAAACTTAACAACATATGAAGCCTTATGAAATAAGGATCATGCGCATGCTTCTCTAAAAGACCTGATGATTACCTTGCAAAATATTTTATGAATATGCAAATAAATGAGCTTTTTTCCCCTCACAATGTTCTTGATATTCTTGACCCCCTCATAACTTCTTCGAACATTTGTTTGTGGATGTGCTTGTTTTTATGAACTTTTGGCTCCTTCTAATCATTGTGGTTACACAGTAGGTTCTTCTTCGTCTGCTTCTGTTCCCACAAAGTTTACCTAGTGCTTAGGACATCCAGAATCATCTAACCTAATCCACACCATTGACACATCAGTTGTGTTGATAGGTTGGTTGTTTGGCTTGGTCCAATGCCCCCACCCAACCTTGGACTAGTGAAAAACTTCAACTTGGCCTGTC